GATCGTAATATAGGCTAAACATTGCCAATTTATGGAATTTAGGATTAAATGTGCTTACAAGATTTAATATTGGATATTCTTGTGTATGTAAAAATTTCTCTTCCAATTAACGATTACTTTGTTGAAATAAATTATGAATATTATTAATTTATATTTTATCTTTTCATGACCTTGCTCTTATGTTTCATAAATTATCATTACTGTAAATTTTTTACTGGGGAAGAAAATAATTAGAGTACAAATATAAAATTATATTTAGTTTAATTATATGATGAAAACAAAATATTAATCAGCAAAATTAAAATAACAAATAATATAATAATAATGAATAGTGATGAAAAAAATTATACAATAGATTTATAAGAATTAAGAGAAAATTTATACAAATGTTTTTAAACACTGCTTATCACAATTTATAATTTATATTAAATAAAATAAAATTACAATAAATGAAAGCATGAATAAACATTTGGCTTACACACCAACAGAAGGTGGTAAATTGTAACAGCTTATTTGTCAAGAGTCTGAAAACTGGGTCAATGCGGTTTTTACTTTGTCAAACAACAATGAATCTGACGTTGTTATCAATTGTTGCAAAAGTTTAAAAATGCCCATTTCTTTTAATTTGGCTTGTCTATCAACTGCACCACTATCTTCTTTCCATACAAGATTTGATACACAAAATATTGCTGCAGCTTGTAATTTTGCATTACAATTTGTCATGTATTCTTGAATTTTTTTCAGGATCTCGTTATTTCTCATTATGTAATCCTTAGCAATGTCACCATCAGCAATGTTGGCTAAAATACACAATGCCTGTTCCTTTACCTCTGGCAAATGATCGCCTTCAAGAATCATCATCACAGCCTGTATTATATCACCACCGCAGAGATTCATTATATAGTCGATGTGAGGTTTTGTTGAAAGCAAATTTCTTAACAGCCCTAATGTTTTCATTAGAATGTTGATGTGAGAATCAGATAACAAATTGAATATTTGGTCAGTTCCCAGAGTACTTAGGATTTGTGATTTAATTTTTTGTTCTGCTTGGAATGCCATGTTCATTAATGCCCATATTCCATTAAGTCTTAATGAATGATCATCTCGTTTGGTTAAACTGCAAAATAGTTCTATAGCTCCAGACTCTAATATGGGTTCTTTAGATGGTGAAAATTCTAACAAAAGATTACATAGTGTGGACGAGGTGACACTCAGAATTTCATCCGAAGCACCTTCTAATAATGTCATTAAAGGTTTCCAAACAGAATGATCTTGAAAAGTAGTACGCAATTGCTGAACAGAACGTGACAAAGAATGTAAACATCTAACAGCAGCCAATTGCACTTTAGGACTAGGATCTTTCAGACCTAAAACAATGTGATCAATTAAATTGTCAGTTTCAATTATTCGCTTACGAATTTCTTCATCATTCGCCCCAAGAGATGCAAATACCTAAAACAAACATAATTATAAACATACTGAAGAATGAGAAAATAACTAAAATTTAATTTTACTTTGAAAGCAGCTTGTTTCATTTCTTTAGACCTATGTTCTCCATAAGTACCACCATATTCCCCCAAGGGATGTGCAGGATAATTTACAAACTCTGCTAGTGTTTGTAATAAATGATTTGATATACTTGCTAATGACTGAAGTTCAGCATCATCCTCAATGAGTACAGCTAAAATTTCAGCTGCTTCTACACGATGTTCCCATTTTTGATCATTTTGACATAAACGCACGAGAGTTGGCAATGCTCCAAACATTACTTTAGAATCATTTACTTCTAATGCTCCTGCTCGATAAAGGCACGTTATACATTTTGATGCTGCTAAACGCATACTAGTTGGTCGGTCACCACCTCGCATAGAGTCTAACATTTCTGGCATTGTCTTTCCATTGTATTCAGTCTCTTCCAAAGCTGCAGAAATCATTGGATTATCTTGGCAAACACGAGCAAAACATTTCAATGTGGCAATGGATAAGTCGTCCAGTTCAGTGTTCAATAAATTAGCCAAAATAAAACCAATTCCTTCTTCCCATAGTATATTTTGATGAGCTGTTGTACGACAAGAATAAGATAGTATAGACATGGCACAAATGCTGTTGCTAATAGAATCTTCAATAGTTTTGATCAGTTTTCTTATAATGGCTGCATCACTAAACACTACAGAATAATCAGAAAAAGGAAATTGTAAAATGGTACATATGCATCGAAGACAAGCTTCTGTAAATTTTGGTTCATCATCCATGAGGAAAGCATTGAATATATATGTCACAACATTGGCATCCACTAGTGCCTTAACTTGGTCTTCAGTTCCTTTGGCTAATGAGCCAAGTATTACTACAGTTTCTAAACGAATCTCTGGTGTTTTTGATTGGTCAGGTAATACCTAAAAAATAATAACAAATATTGCATTGGTAAATTTAGTAAATGTGCTTGAAAGAAATTTTCATTTTTGTTTTTATTATGAATCACCTGCAAAAGCCTGGGCAGTATGCCGTTGGCGATGACTATTCCCTTCTGCTTGTTGCTGCCCATGATGGAGTTCTTAACAAAGTTGAGTGCCTGATAGCATTTTACATTGTCTTGCGTGTACAGGTTGTCGATGTAGTAACGAGACGTTTCGGCATTCATGACGAATATCGGATGCGGGACCATAATAACAATATCAATGATGACAGTAATAATGTATTATTGTTATTGAGATGTTGTCGTCTGTTTTTCACTTCGGTCAGAGCGGCCTACGTTAACGTATCGTCGAGAATAAGAGCACCATTGAGATCTAAAAGCAGAAAACTGGGTAAGAGGTCAAAAAAATACGAATCACGTATCAAATACAAATAGATGACACCGAAAACAAATTGCTTTGATATAGAGTAATAGAGATATTGGAAAACTTCACGAATCTTGCAGAATATAATAACGACGATAACAGCTTTAATTTTTCTTTTATTATCTAAACACGGGATTATTTGCAAGTTTTGAGTCTATGGTAATAACCTAAGTTGTGGTAACAACAACTCAACATTCGTGGTAATAAATAAGTAATAACAACTATAAATCACGACAATTTTGTCATAGGTATTATTTTGTTACAAATAATACAAATTAGTTATTAATAAAATTTATTTTTAAAAATAAATAAAGAGTAAAGACTAATTTCAATACAACGGTCAACCACTCGGCTAATTAACAGAATAAATAAAAAAATTTTAGTTTGTTACTTTATTTTAGTATTTTACACTTATTTTACAATAATATTTAATTAATCCATTTTATTTCAGAAAGAACAAACATTTTATCGGTCTGATTTACTGAGACATAATATTACGCCATAAAGCGTCTCATAAAATTGTTATATTTATTTTTAAAAATCATGTTTATTTCATCTTTATAGTTCAACACATCAATTTAATATATTTAGGTCTTATTTAATTATAGTACCTATCTAATTATATATATTTGATAGGTAGATAGTAGATATTAGTAATTTGAATATCTCTATTGTACGAATTTTTTATTGTTATTTATGATACTTCGTACATTTTAGAAAGTATCACTGACGTCTGACACTGAGGATAGTGGATACGAACATTTTGGCGTTATCGTTAAGGCGTCTTCATTGGTAACCCTATCTCCACATTTCTACAATGAATACCTAATTTTTATTCTTTTACATCATAATATTTTTTTTTAATAAATTAGAATATATGAGACTAAAAATATAACAAAGCAAATTGTGTTGTTTAGAGTGTTCACTCAGTTCAGACTGTTCAGAGTCATAATGAACAATTAAAAACCCGTTGTATCAGTGAAATTTACACTAAGTAAACACAGTTTATAAAAATATAATAATGGATATCGGATACCTAATTTAGGATGTACCTAATTACCATACAATTTTTAATTTTAATTTTAAATTAATTAATATTACATGCATCTGTCATGCTCATGACACAATTTGGACTTTGGACGAACAATGAAAATTTTATTAGGATGGTATCCAACTTAACTAAATTGCAGTGGCTACGTGTACATTAAAATAGTGCTTTTTACGTAGATGCAGAGCAATGTTAAAAATTATTACGAAAATAAAAAAACTCGCCTTACCTTCCGAATTCCAATTCATATGACGATTTTTACATACATAATACATTAAATAAAAATTTAAAATCTCAACATATCATAATATAGAATATAGATGATAAAAAATAGTGCAAACACAATAAAAAACTTATTGAATACACACATCGAACCTAAAAGTATTTGATATTTTGATACTAAATAATCATATCATTAGCAAATAACAACTCAACTCAATATGTCCTAAACTTTAAACATCCACATACCATTTGCTCATATGATCTGTTTCACTAAATAAGAACCAGACTGAATAGGTCAAGATAAAATGCTCAGATGAAAAATAATAGACATTTTTTATCTGGCTCCGCAACTCCGGTCTAGTCCAAACTATTTAGTACATAGCTGAGGAATTGGAAACGGTGTTTAAGAGAAGAATATCAGCCATACAGGCTACAATATTTACTACATATAATCTAGTTGGTTACGTAATCGTATAATCTGCTTTGAGCACCAAACTTTAAATGCTTAATCAAAAAGATGTATCACATCTGCACATAATTTTCTACTTTTATTGTAGTTTTTAATATTGTTATTTATTATAAATTGTTTTCTTTACTTTACATTAATACCACATAATAAATGCTATATCATATAAAATAACTATTCTAAGATAATATTAATATTTTGATATACTTAAGCATTTACCTTGAATGGTTCATGAAGAAACGCCAGAAATAGTATCAAATTTAATATTTTATTTATACTAAAATACCACACATATAATATAAATAAAAAAAAACATTAAAAACTAAAAACTGCTATAAAGTAATTTTATTTTAATCAACGATACATAATTGTAAATCAAGATAAATGTATTTTTTTATTAAATCATAAAAAAACTTGAATAAACAATTTTAATATAATTAAATTTATTGATTATTATAGGTACTTAATTTTCATTTTACAATAAGTTAGGTACGCCATCTGATATTGGGAACACTCTATGTGTTTCTGGACATATAAGTTCACCGTCTATAATTTCAACCTAAATAAAATAAACAAAATTGCTAGAATATCAATTATTATATAGTAAAATATTAAATAAATTGTTTATTTTTTTTCAAATAAAACAAAAAGGTTAACTGAAATATATTGTTGGATTTTGACTTAGATATGGGTTATAAGATCTCATACAAAATTTATATAGTTTTCAAATAAAAAAAATTAATGGAACAAGTGTTGAGAAACCATTTAGAGGAATGTTTTTATAAGAATATTTCCTCAATTAAAAATATGTACTGTATAAATGACAAATTAGTAGTAAGCCAATAGATAAAACACAATCCTTCCATAAGGCATCTAAACTTATAAGAAAAATAATCATTGTATTTTAATATTTAATATATTAGCGTTATGCTAATAGCGTAGACTTACTTCCATGAGCAAATGATGTACTTTTTTGAGATACTCTTCGTCGTTTTCATAGTTTTTGATTAACTCTTCAGATAGGTCTTTGCCATAGCCAATCTAGAATAAAAACAAAAACAAATACCTTGTAAAACCCATCAATATCATGGTAGATGGATGTAATTTGGTTGTGTAACAGTGCTAAAACAACCACACAATAACCGTACTTGTATAGCGGCATTTACAAAAACTTTCCAATTGAGTTTTGCTATTATATTCTTCACAAATTCCTTGTTGAATTCAGATTGGGATATCTGTATGTCTTTTGCCTGTTGAAAATAACGTAATTAGTAAAAACACGCAATTTTATAATAAGGAGACAACGATAATAAATAAATGTCGTCAACAGTGAATAGAAACAATGAAATCACTCACGACAATGCGAAGCGGATATCCTACTTTGACTCCTTCCAGGCTTTTGGACGACAGCATATTATGAGTAAACAGTTTCATGATTGATAATTGCGTGGTAGACTTTAGAGTGTTACAAAAATTAATTATAGATCAGCAGCCGACAGTTGGATAAATCTTATAGATCAAATGGAAGGCACGAAACGGCTAATTATTAGTAGATAATAATTACGAGTAACTAATGGTGAAAAGTAGCAATAATAATGACTAACGACTAAGGAGTATGTGACTGAAATAACTAGTAAACACAAGAAAGTCCTAAAAACCGTGGACACAGGTATACTACAACAGGCGCGAATCACGTCGCACAGTTCACGTGTCTTGTTGAAATGCAAAAACGCTAATTTAATTTATGGATCATAATGTACGGTTATTGTAATTCTCTTTTCTCAAAAAATAAATGGTGACACTGTTTTCCAATTGTTCCCATCCGAATTCCGATTATTATTTATTACATTTGCGTCCCAATAGTCCTATACTCCCAATAGTAAATATTTAATTATCATCATAGACATCATATTATGACGATTTTCATGTTTTTGAAATCTAATATGACTAATAAGTAATATGTTTAAATTACTCGCAAGCCCGAATTAAGGGGGGCGACAGGAGGGGCCAAGTCCCCGGGGCCGGCCCACGCGTGTTAAGGGCCCATATTTTTCTCGGTTTTAAAATTACATTAAGTGATAATTTGTACTTTTTATAGTACCAACAAAAATATTTTTATTTTTTTCTTGTTTGAGCTAACAGTCGATGGGGCCCGTCGACTATGTTTACCACCAATAAGTATGGTAAGTGGGGAAACATAGCGTCATAGCCAGGTTTGTGTTTGTTGGGAATAGGCATATATTTTGATATTACTGTATTTAAAAATAGAATTGGAAAATTTGTTTATGTGACTGTCTCGGTCATGGATACTCATAATAATTTAGATACATACCGACTAAACCTGTTTACATAAACAAAACTTAATTTTATGTGTAAATATATATTTTAATAAAAATGTCTAAATTTGTTTTATTGTATAATTTTATAATTTTAAAGAACTGTTTTTATTGACAGGGGTCCACAACCATGTATTGGCCCCTGGGGGGCCCTTGAAGCTCTTGATCCGGGCTTGATTATTCGTGTAATTTTTTTAACAAGGCATTGACGGTAATTAATAATATTAAATATTAATTAAAGTACCTATGCTAAACTTGCTTCTGAATATTTACTACTAGCCACTAGGTACCAATGTACTATTAAGTTTTTCAATAAAGCATTAATTTTTGAAAAAAAAAAGTAAATAAAGCAGTTTTACAACATTTATAGCCTTACTTTTTAGTAATGTTACATTAATAATGCAACTTTAATTGAAATATACAATTTATAGTTATTTTTATACAAATGTCAAAAAATATGTAAAAAAACATTTAACCATAGAATTTACACATTACAAAACGTCGACATTTTGAATCAAAAAAAATTCTACGTGAATTGAAGAATATGCATTTACATAAAAGTCCGGTCTTTAAATTTATTAGTGTTGGCCAACAATATATTTTTAATTATCAATATCGAAAAAATAACGATTTGCATATATTTATAATTATATGACATATATTAATTACTAATTATTATGTATTAACTTAAAACTTTAAAAGTATGTAAAATTAAAAATATGTATAAATCTAAACATAGAAAATCAGGTATGGAAATAATAGAAATATGTAATTATCAGTTTACAAATTTTTTTCTACAAGCAGTTTTTCCATCAATGTTTCTCTGAAACATCACAATATGCTACGAGTATAATTTATTATCTTTTAGATAAAGGAATAAAAGTGTAGGTATATTATATAAATATTAATTCCTATTTCAATATCGCTGTATTTTCGACAATTATTTATAAATATTGGTATCGAAATTTTTAAGAAAATACTCACGATATCGATATCGTTGACCAACAGAACTAATTATCACTATTATTCAAATCAAATACTGTCATGGTCTTATATAGACCACTGTGTTATAATAGTAATAAATACAACAAAATCAACTACCAAGCTATATTGTATTACAATTTTGCAGATCTATTAATTTAATGGTACATACATTTAGATTAAGTATTAATTTAAAATAATAGTTTTAGTTCATCGGTACACACATTTCTCGGTAGGATGTATATGTCTTGTTTCTACTGAATACATTTGACATAGAAATGTCGACGTCGATTAGATACAAGAAGACGAGGATTTAACTATAGATAATTTTTTTAATACATGTAAAAAATATACAAGTTTCAACGACCGCATGTTAATAATTTGTTTTTAAATTTAAACAAAATAATCGTAATTTACAACACTTTTAGTGATTGATAATAAAGGAAGGTGTGTACTGAAATATGAAATGTACTCATAAGTTAGAAGTTAACTAAAATTACAAATAACGATAATTCCCACCTACTGACATAGTCGAACAAACCAAGGCAAAATAAATACATTTGTAATGTATTAAACAGTGCTCTTAAATGAGAAATTATCGTCCGAATCAGTCGGCCATCTACTGTGAATATCGAATAGTAGGTAATAGGTGCTTGCGCATCTCAAAAACAGTACATTTCCTTAATCGTTACTTACGTTTCTAATTTGCAGCCGTTTCACCATATTACAAGGCATGGAGAAATATATATTTTGTCATGGTACAAGATACAAGGAATTCTTTGTACAGTGTTTTGCTTTAGATATAATGTCCATGTTTATACCTACATAATAACTTGTATAGTTACATGCATATTTGTACAAGTAATTTAAGAGACATAAATTCAATTGATTGTTGATGAATTATAATTAATGTCGATCTTTATTGAACAAAAAAAAAAAAAAAATAATAATTATTACATAGGTACCTATTATGTGAAGTCTATTTATCTATACACATATGTAGGAATTGATAAACAATGAATTATCGAACTTAAGTCTTAACTAGGTGGGCCGAACTAAATTTTAATCATTAAAATCAACTATTCTAGGCCATTTTAAAGGGATTTAGGCTGGTAAGTTTCTCAAAAATTAAAATTAAACGTAAATTTTGATTGCAACTATTAAAAATGTAACTATGAAAACTATAACAGTTTTGTATAATTATAAGTCTATAATCATTATTTATGAATATACTATGCATTATAGGTAAGATGGTATGTATTAAAAATAAAAAGTAAAATGTATTTTAATTTACATAATTTATTTCCATTTTCACATTTAAATTATATTTTTTTATAATATTTAATAATTATTTGAAAAATATGTATCGTTTTATTGGTGAAAAAAATTAAGCTAAGTAATGTACCTATTATTAAATTAATGTAATTATTTCAAATTTATTAATAAATTATGTTAATTAAAAAAATTAATTTCACTAAAAGTATAAAAAAATTAAATATGTAGCGTTTAAATAAAAAATTGATTTAAACGAAATTTTTTAAATAAAATTAACATTTATATATATATATACAAATAAAATACAAAACTAAAAATATTGTAGTTATTTTAAAATAACTAAAAATATGATAATAATAATTTTTTTAAATAAGTTGTCATAATTAAAACTCCTTTAAAACTCCCAATCTTTGTTTTTTATATAGTTCATTTTGATTTTGAGATTGTTTTCTTTTATTATTATTCTGATTTTCGTCGGAATTAAGATATGTCGAATCCTTTATACTATTTGGTTGTATTTGTTGTTTAGGTATGTTGAAATCTATTAATTTGCTTTCATTTTGAGGTATATTTTCTACCAAGTTACCACAATTATAGCTTGTCATTTTTTGAAATAGTTGATTGTCTTCTTGTTCAATAAATACGTTCATTGTTTGATTCATATCATTATGTTGAAGAGATGGTTGTTTTGAAGTATAATTATAAAAATAAAAGTTTTCTTTATCTTCAGTCTTTTCCATTATATTTTCTTTTTTTTTTCATAGCTTATATAACGTAATTGTTCAATTAATGTAATACCCGGTGAAGAATTTCTATTGCAAGAAGATTGAGATTCTAACTCTGAATCTTTATCATTGGATTCATTGATGTTTAATGAAGTGTTGATACACTGTATAAAATCTGAAAATGTGTCCGACTCTTCAATAATTATTGATAACTCTTTTTCAGTGTCATTTTGAGAACTTTCCATATCCATATTGCTGTTTAAATGTGATTTATTAATTCCCATTAAAAACTGTCTATACTCAGAATCATTGATATTACTTGAATCTAAAATAAAAGATGCTGGAACGATATTAAATTCACCATTAGTTGATAAATCCATTAGCATATAATTTTCATTAGCCAATTTTTTAGTCTTGAGTTCTGTGTTATTTATAACTGTATCCTTATCTGAATTTTCTTTTAATTCTTTAGAAAAAGTATTACGATTATTTGATATCTTTTCTACCGGCTTCACTTCTTTAATGAATATCTCACTACTATTTGGTATTTCTTCTATAGTTTTTTTAATTTTTAAGCTTTTTGATTTAATCATAGGAGAACTTTGTAATTTTTTTGAAAGTATTTTAGGAGAACTAGTTCTTAGAGTATTTTCCTTTTCCAAGACTGAATATATTTTATTAGAAGCTTTTGGATTCTTTACAATTTCTTTATCTGGACTCTTTGTTATCAATAAAGTTTTATTAATTACTTGTTTTGGTTTTTGTTTTAAGGTTTCACTTAAATTTAAATTTTTGTTTGAGTTAAATATAATATTATGAGTAGCTCCTTTATCTTTTAATACATTAGACGGTGTGGTATTTTTTTTAGTATTTTCTGTTTTAAGTTTTGGAGATTCAGGAACTTTAAAAACTGGCTCGGACTTAATTAAATCAATAGTAATATCGGGTAATTTTTTTAGCTTTGATATTATATTATTTTTTGTATCATTGACATGGGTTATAGTTACTTCCTTTGATATCTTTAAATTTAATGGAATTAGTGGTTGTTCTTTCTGAACAAACACAGATTCTATTTTTCTAGAAAATCATTAAAAAAAAAATAATTAACTAATTATAAAAACCATAATAAATCTATACAATTATAAATAATTAAAATATATTTTTTTACTCAGTGTACTTATATTCCAATTGATATTATACATTGTTTGTTACTTATGTACCTATATGTTTTATTAATTTAATGTCAAGTTTATTGAACTAGTTATAAATCTCAGATAGTAAACAGGTATTTTAACTAATTTTTGACAAAATCAATTTTGTTTTTTTTTGGTACAACTTTAAAATAAATTACCATAAATATTTGCAATTTTCAAAATATTTCTATTAAATATTTATTTCTACTCTTTTGAGATATTTAAAGAGTTGATAAATTTTTAATTTTTGTTAGTTTTTAAATAAATGTAGCTAAATTATAAATTAATTGCTAGGTAAAAATGCTTGAAAATTGAATTTAAAATTTATTATTAGTTCTTTATTTCATGATTAAAAAAAAAAATGTGGAAAATTTGTTTTTTATACAAACATTTATTTTAATGTTTGAATTTTGATAAAATGTATCATAATTTTTTTGTTTTTAATTTTTATACATAAGATTCCTATAAGTAAGTCATACTGAAACCGTATAAGTACAGTCCTAGAAATATGTAAAGACAATTATTTTTATAAGCAAAGTTCAAATTTGGACATAGTTACTCATTTAAACCTTATTTTTTACCTATATATTTTATGATTTAATGTAATCGGCAATTTCATAAATTCGGTGTAACATATACATAACTAGAGTTGTTTGTATAAAAAAGAGTTATGGACAAATAATGAATATAACTCAGTAAAATAATTTATTGCAAGAGTGCTAGACATCTTTTTATAGTTGATATATTATTTATAATAGATATAGATACATAATATGAGTACATTGAATGAGTCGCTATTAATAATTTTACCTTTTTTTGAATACCAACTTTAAACTGAAAGTTAAACTTGTTTTAATTGTTTGTATAATTTTATTTTCTAAAATTATGCTAGGGGGAATTATCTTCGATGATGGATAATATATTTTTTTAATGAAAAAATGACTGAAGGAAAATGTATGGATTTTAATAAATAAGTACGTGTTTATTTCTTATAATATAAATATATGTTGTATAGCCATATAGACACTTTAAATTGTAAGTACGGAAATGGAAGTTGATCTATATGTTTAATGTAAATAAATTAAACCTATACATATTAATCTGGTTTATATTACCTAATACCTACCAATTATAATTATCATTGTTCATTATATATCTATATCTATTAATTATTTGTATGATAAATAAATACAAATTTTAATAAAGTTATTCATTACCAAATACAATTTTATGGTACTTACTTTATGTCTCGATCTATTGCTTTTGAAGAACTTTGTGACATTTTTGAAATTGATCTCAATTTGACTTTTGAATTACTAATATTTTTACGTATCTGTAAAAATAAAGAAATAAATTAGCCAATGTAGGAAATAATTACCTTTGAAAATTGCATGACAATGGTTTTTATAAAACAAAAAATTACTGTAGTGACGCCGTGATGTCTATGTAATGGCGAAATAATTTTAAGTCAACATGACATATTTTTAAAATGTAATAAAATGATTATCTTGTATACAATTTTCGAAATATGACTAATTACTTCATAATTTATTTATAATTATCTCTTCTTAAATTAGACAAAAACAAAATATTGCTTTCATGGCAGTACTTTATTTCTATAGATAATAGGTACACATATTAGTAAACCTATATACAATCAATGGCAATAAATATTATTATACAACATAGGTACCAGGAACTATATTATTATATTTAAATACATTATATAATATTAAACGTTTGAATCATAAACAATGGTCAAATAATACAATATTCCCAGAATGTATGAAAATAACACATCTAATATTTATTTATTTTATTAATTCTTCAAAACGATAGAAGAACATGGCATTATCTGGATATGAATTTATATTATATTATTATTATTGATCATGTGTTACATAATAATAATTTTATTTTATTCTCTATAAATTTAAAAAGAAAAAAAATTATTATTGCACAAATACTTTATCAATATTAACAGCTGTTAAAATACCTAAAAAGTAAGTACATTATTATATAAATTAAGAAGCATTTTTAGCTCTCTCTTTCCCCATGATAATTATCTTATTGTTTTTGGTTTTTTAAGCCTGTATTTTAACTATTGCCAGTAATCTTTCTTCTTTAAGAGGCTTAAGCTCCCTTATTATTTTAAGAATCTGCGTATCTTTGCTATTTTTCAAAATTAGGTCTATAACCACATCTACTGCTTATAAGTTGTCGGGCATGTATATGTGTAATTGACAATGAACATGTTTACTTTTTTAACTGGTTCTACCGACAACCCCTCTTTTACGAGTCCTCAGTGGTACTCTTTTACCGATTTAGTCCCTTTACACCGAAAATTCATATAGAAATTGTAGACGCTAGAATGGGACAATCATTTTATATTTATTAACAATAAGGATGAGAGAAAAATAAAAATTATAATAATAATAAAAAATAACATGAAAAAATAAAACTTATTAGATTAAAAATAACTGAATATAATAAGAAATTAAGGAGTGTTGTAATATAAATTCAGAAATAATTATTACTATATACTTATAAAGATTATCGTAAAACCAATTTTTCAATTAATATTTAAAGTGTGAATTAATTGAATAAATTAGTAATTTTTATAGAATCACATTAAGAGACTTTAAACTAATTTAAAAAAAAAAAACGTTGAAGCTTTTTTGGTGCTAACGAATGGTATTATAAAATTATTAAAAATTTTCAGAAGTTATATTTTAGATTTCAGTATTAAAAAAAAATATTTTTGTAAATAAGAATACTGCTTATTGTTTTATAAATTGTTAATACCAAGTACTCTTGACATTTTAAATATTTTATAAAAAGGGATTGTTTTTTGTTTATTTAAGATGATATTTATTTATTTATTACTATGATTTTTATTTTATTTAAAAGATATACCAATAGCCACCGAAGTAGCTACTTTACCCCACGAACTACGTATTCTGAGCACGTCTTACAAACCATCCAAATTCTCAATATTTGTCCTTAATAACATCATGCCATGTAATCCACTGAGAGGCTTAAGTAAAATTGGTATTGATATTTAGCTTAAATTAAAAATTAAAAAAAAGAAATCAAGTCAAAAAAGTTAGTATACTGGGTAACGTTTTTTTATTAAGTTACTTATGTTATCAATCAAAATATCAATCATTCTTATGTTTTCAAATAAATAACATAAAAAAAAAAGAATTTTAGAAATTTTTATTGTTTATTTACATACATAAAATATAATAATAAATTTAAAAGTCTTAGGTCTCAACGGTTGAATTACAAGAATACAATTAATATTGTTACACCTTGCTTTAATAATTATTTCATTAAAATTTGAATTTCAAATATTTATAAAAAAAAAATTGTGTGCCTATCTTTAATACTTTTAAGATAATTTCAATAAAACTTTTGAGAAACCTTTATTAAATTTTTAAGCTTGTTGATTGGGCAAAAATTTTTTATCGACAAAAAATATATATATGTATTAATAGCTCAAAAATATTTTGAAAATTATAACAAAATTAAAATAAATATTTAATTGAAACTAAATAAGAAAAGTGATTTTGTCGAGAACTAATAGTACGTCAAAATGTCCGTTTTACTTTAATATTTTCCCTCGATTATTTTTAAAAGTATTGAGAATTTTTTTTTATTTTTACCTATCAAAGAATACTAAATTTATTCAATTCTAAGTAAAAAAATTTAAGTTGAAAATTAAATTTTTTTTCTTCTATAAAATATCTATTTATATAAAATCAATAAATTTATCTCTTCACTTAGAATAAAGTAAATTAAAGTAGGTAAAGTAATAATGTGAACTTTTGTTTCCTAACTGTATGTGTTGAAAATTCTTCTATGCACCAATTATTTACTATATATACATATTATATAAATTCTTTTCATAATTTCGACGTCTTAATTAAAGTTATTCATTTTTAGGTTCTAAGCGAAGCGATGAATATATCGATTTTACTAAGAGTTTTTTTTTTGTATCTGTATTATACACGATTTATTACATAGCAAAAAACAGCTATCGATAAATGATCTTATATACATTTTTTCCTTATAACTGTATAAAAATATTAAAAACAAATACTTAAACACAATTTTTTTTTTTATGCATTTGAAGTAAAATTCTTAGCAAAGCTCATTAAGATTAAAAAAAAATACAAATCATTTCGTAATAAAGAAATTATAAAATCTTCAATTTCCTAGTGTATCTATTACTATCTATTACTTATACAAAACAATAAATTAATAATAGTAGATACCTAATATAAATTTATAAAATATACAAAATATCCTTAGAAATAAAGACTGACAAACTTCGCTCAGAACCGTATAATAATAAATTTATCATATTGATTATATAGATATACTTATTGGTTTAATAACGTGGTATATTCGAAACCTACTATATAGTATAAAGAAAATCATGTTTCTCGATTTTTCTATTGAAACGATACTATCCTAATACATTAAGATTGTTTAACAAAAGATTTAGGTATAATTTACAAATTGATTACATTTTTTGTTTTATATTATGTAACAAATTAAACCATGATAACATTAATAACCATCAAGCTTAATATATGTTACCATTTATCATAGTTTTTGAAACGAATTGCATCTAAAATGTTAACATTGTTAACAATATTAGTTTCAATAAAAACAAAGTGTACTTTATGTATAATAGGTATCTTAGATCTATATAGATACTATATTCAGTGGCGTATTTAGGTTTTTGTCATGGGGGGGGGGGATATGACTTTATAAATGAAGATACCATTGAGAATATTATACAATATATTATTTTAATATTTTAATTTTTGCAAATTTAATCAATTATTGATAAAAAAAAATAATAATAATAATAATAATTTTTTAAATAATATGATGGCTATAATTATTTGTGTATACAGCCTATGGAGAGGATTTATCCCCTTGATCCCCACCCCCCGTAAATACGTCACTGACTATATCATAATAAATAAAACAATCATATTAATTATTAGCTTGATAGTTGTTTTATGAATAAAACAGATGTATATACTTACAGGCACCGGTATTTGACTATTGTTTGTATGTCGCACCACTATGGTGTGTAGTTGATTTTTGTTGGGCATATTAATTTATTGCTGAGTAAAGAAATAAAAAGTGACGAGTTTTATATAAATCCAAGATGTTTGTTAGCAAACTGGACGAAAAAGACAAAAGTGATTAGATGTTTTGATTTTTAACAAGACCGAGACTACGGAGTTGGTTGAATACCGCATTCGAGAATCGAGATGACAAGAAAAAATATAAATGAAAAAATTTGCGAGTACAAACTATAGTCTATAGGGCATGGCATAGACTGAACTAAAAAGTAAAAACCATCTGCCTGGATGATTATCCATCTGGTCATGGATAACGAGTAGTGGCCAATCGCATTCCGAAAATTTTACAGGGTCCTTGAAGAGGAATGTTCTGAAAATAAACAGGGAAATCACCGGTGAAACCTACAAACATCGATGGAAAATTGACAATTAAATAATTATTCATGCTTAGTATTTATCTTTTCATTTTCTCTGAAAAATTCAAATGTGATCGACCGCCAACATTTTTTCCACGTATTACCTATTGAATTTATTACCAATTACTGAAAGTACTATAAAATAGATATAATCAAAGAATAATAAAACCTATTCTTTAGTATTTGGCAAATATTATTTGCTATATTGCTATTGCCTACTAAGTTATTATAGTTATTACTAAAACAAAGACTTTTATGTATTTGTATATTCTTTCTGGTTAACTTTATCGTACGCTTAGTAAGTACTCGATATATTATATTTATGATCAAATATTCAAAATTTTTAGTGCATATTTTTGAACATTTTTTATATTTTCGATTTAAAAGGATATATTTCTGATTATAAGAGCATATTATACATTTTTAGTACAAATTTTAATAATTTAACCGATATCATACACTTCTATAAATATTTTTCATGAATCAAGCAAGGTCAGCAATTATATTAAACTATGAATTTGTCATAAAAACGAATGAGATAGTAGAATAATTTTTATCTTAATAGTTAGTGTCTTTAGTGAATATGTTAGATTAGATTTGTGTTGTGCATTGACTATATTATTGTACTTTCTTTATTTATATAAGCACATAAAAAATAACTGAAAAAAAATAAAATAATTCAAAAGAATTAAAATAAATAAAAATATACTTAAGAAAAATAGAAATTTATAGTGTAATATAAAAGTATACATTTTTTAGAGCAATTTAACTATACATATTTTTAATTTTTTGATACATAATACATATTATATTTAAATGCATGTTTGATGATTTTTTAGTGCATAAAATTCCTTGCCCTAGTTATTATGAATAAACGATGTCATTGTACCCTTGTTTTCATTAATTAATAATAGTATATATTATAAAGTATTGATTTTATGTTTTTATTTTATTAGTGATCTATATTTTATTAATGATTTATATGGGGTGTGAAGGGTTTTTTACGTATCACTTATAGAAGTAAAATATCAATACTTATGTAAATTAGGCGGTAAATTTATTTCAGTCTATGGGCGGGAAAAATCTTAATCCGGCCCTGATTCTACAACTTGAGAACCAAAACAAAAAACCAGCGATTAAAACCATGATTCTTGCAAGACCTACTTCTATCAGATGTCTGTGATTACGAAGATCAAGTTTAAGATAAATTCATCAATAATACTTAATAGTAGGTACCTACCTAGTATAAATGGTTTAACATATGGCATGTAAATATCATTATATTTGTAATTAGATTTTAAGAATTGTAATATCAAGAGATACGCTGATACGTTAATTTAAATTTTCAAATAAATAATAAAAAAAAAAATGTGTGAGTATAGGTTCATGACAGTGATGGTTTTGAGGGTGAGGTGACGCTTCCCTGAATGATTTATTAAATAATATTCAAAATGTGAACTTCTCGTATTATCAATAGCACATATTTTGCTAAAAATGTTGAACGTATCTATGTAGTAGATATGTTGGATATAATTTGATAAAAAATTCTTCTTTATTTCACTTTAATATGAATTATCACTTATTTTATGGTATACCGATAAACCGATAAGGAATGTAATGAATGTATGAAATAATTATTACGTAAAGTCGTAAACGAACGCCGGTTGTAATGTTCCGAGACGTCAGAGAAGCATCGTTTGATAAAAATTAATAAACCACGTAATCAGTAGTTGTTAATTTTGTTATTGTAATTGATATGTATTTATGTTATTAGATACATATAATTATAATTATTTTTTATGTTTTTAATATCTATTTTTGCGAAGTTTAATTTTTATTATGATGGGGAGAGGGGAGGATACATAATTCATGGTCGTATTGAAAATATACACCAAAACCGCCACTGGTTCATGCACTGTGGTAAAAATGGACAATGTAATACAATTAATTTAAATGTTTTGAAAATGTCATGATATTGCAGTGTAGGTATGTACAATTAAATAACATTCATATAAGTTTCAAATATTTACAAATATTTTTACATATTATTATATTTAATTTCAATATAATAACTATAATTGTTATTTTTTGTTTAAATATCTAATTTTGTTCAAATTATAAATCGATTTTATCAAAATCTGGTATTCGTAAAACTTCCTATTTTTCTTTAATATTTTTGTTTTTCTCAGTTATTTTGAAAAGTTTATAAATGTTTTACTTTTGACCTCTATACCTAGTATCAACTATCAACTATCATAATTCATAGATTAAATATTATATTAGTAATCTATATGCAACTACTAACTAGATTAAATTTGCTAATAGTTAAGATGTTGATTTTTTTTTGTTTTTAAAACAGGTTTTTTATTGTGTTTTAATAATTACAATTTGAAGTTTAAAGCAAGTATTAAATAATGAAACGGTAAAATAACAATATGAACGACCATCAAAAAATATCTATTTATTCGGACCACGCGCACTAGCACTGCTGCAGTGCTGCCGCGCTGTTTTCGGTTTTTCGAAGAAAATTGTTATCAATCACTGTCGTTATCAATCGTTTGTTATCAACCGGGGACCGGCGGTCACTTTCTACATCGTGTATTCATCTCGTCTTACCCGGATTGGCGCCATTCCGAAATCGGCAGCCAAACCTGGCTTGTTCGATTGTTCCGAAATTTCGACCTTACCAGCGCTATGTCCGTGTTTATGGTCGCGTGGACAACATTTATGACATTGCTGGTGCTGGCTTTGGGATCGACCGTCGATGACCGCAAGCCAAACACTGTGTTCGTGGCCATACTCATACGGAATAAGGCTCATACTCTTCCATACTTCTTCAGTGCTCTGGAATCTCTTGACTATCCTAAGGATCGAATGCACCTATGGTGAGCTATTGAGTTATTTGATGAATAAAACAAACACACTGTTGTTTTTTGCTTTTAAGCGGTTTTACTTTAATGGTCTGAAGTGATCACTGATCACACTAATCATTACATATTAGTGTCTAGGGATGGAATTTTATTTAAATTCTATATAAATAGTATAATATAATTTTACGAGTTATCTTGTGAATTGTATAGTCTGTCACTTTTACTTTCCACAGTTAACAAACTATTATGATGCACTCTTCTCTGTTTTTCATACTGTTCTCTTATAGGTGTTTACAGAGAAAATAATGACAAATTTACTGCTAAATTTCTCATGATCTACAAAATATGATAGAGCAATAGGATTTAAAATAGTTTTTATTTATCAATACATCTTCAAATATTAACATTAACATTAATTATTATGAACATGTTCAAAAAACTTAAATTAAATAAAATTAATTTTCATTACTAATGCATTATTTTTTCATAATGTACATACTGTTATATTGACTAAATAATGTGATGTAACAACTTATAATAGGCATAACATAAATAAAAAATAGTTTGGTATGCGATAATAAATTAAAATTATTTAATTTTTATCTAAATTAATTTTGATTTTATATTTAAGAAAAGAATAGCCTATTTTTAAAATATCATAAATTAAATATTTATTTTCTTTTTACTTGCTTTAAAATTAAAAATTATTTTAAAAATGTATTTATTTTATAAATTTATAAAAAGTTCTAAGAAAATATGCAGGTATATCATAATTTAAATTATTATTTAAATCAATGATTTATTATGTAGGAATAGGTATAGGATATAAAACTAAATTTTTGTTTAATATTTAAAACATCAAAGTTAATTGTTACATGTTTATTAAATATTATTATTTACAATAAACAATTATTTTATAGGATTAGGAGTGATCATAACATAGATAACTCCATTCAAATTTTAAATAAATGGTTAAAGACATCAGGAACAGCTTACCATTCAGTTGATGTCAAAGTAGATAATAGTTCAACAAAGTATGACGATGAAAGTGGTCCAGCTCATTGGCCCCATTCTAGATTTCAGCATATTGTTCAATTAAGAGAATCTGCTCTACGAACTGCACGAGAAAGTTGGTCTGATTATATTTGGGTAAATAATTAATAATTTTAAGTTCAATAAAAGTAAATATTATTTTATTTTTAATGACTTAATTTTTGTATTAATAGTTTTTTAGATTGTGATGCGTTTATTATCAATAAGTCTACTTTAAGACATTTAATAAAAAAAAAATATCCAGTTGTTGCTCCTATGTTAAAATCTGATGGATTATATTCAAATTTTTGGTGTGGTATGACTGATAACTATTATTACAAGAGAACTTCTGATTATGCACCTATAGTAGAGAGGAAAACTAAAGGGTGCTATCAAGTACCAATGATTCACAGCTCAGTTTTAATAGATTTAAGACTTCAGATCACTAATTACTTAACATTTAACCATAGCTTGTTGTCTAACTACATGGGACCTGTAGATGATATAATTATATTTGCTATGTCTGCAAATTTTTCTGGTTAGTTGTAAGTAGTTTTCCTTTTAATAAAATTTAAATTTATATATTATTTTTTAATTAGGAATTCCCTTACATATTTGTAACGATGAGATGTATGGTTTTATAACTATACCACTTGAAAAAGATAGTTCTTTAGAAATGGACATAAGTCAGTTGACAAATATAAAATTAG